AGCTACTGCGGGGAGGATGAGGACGTGGACAGAATCATCATGGACGAGCGAATCAAGAGAGCGGTGGGAAAAGTGGAAAGGGGCAACAGCAGAGCCGCCCTGCTAAGAACTTCCATGAGCTCCGACGCCAGCGGCCTGTCGTACGACTCGGTCAAATACACCCTGGTGGTGGACGAGCACGCTCAGCTGGAGCTCGTCAGTTTGAGACAGTGTTACCAAGGTTACAGCGACGACAGCGATTCGGCCACCGTCTACGACAACTGCGTCTCGTCCCCCTACGAGTCCGCCGTCGGGGAAGAGTACGAGGAGGGAGACGGTGAGGAAGATTGCGCCCGTTTGGGGGGAGTCCGACGAGAGGCCACGGCGTGTCTGTCCGAAGACTCCACGCCAGATGTTGACCTGCATTTCTCCAAGAAGTTCCTCAACGTCTTCATGAACGGACGCTCGAGCTCATCAAGTAAGTCGGCGTCTTCTGGGTTGCACTGGAAATCATAGCATTGGAAATATGCGCTTTTTTTGTTGTTGTTGTTTTTTTTGTTTTGTTTTTACATGCAAGCTTCGTATACACTGCCTAAAAAAAGTGCAGGTATTCATCAAGTTTTATTTTCGTGCAGTGGAGCAGATAAGGTGTCGTTCCTTCACCAGACACTTTAAGTTCACATTCTAAAAATCTTAATTTGAAGAACCTTATGAGGAAATCTGTTTTAATTGACACCGTTTTTGACAAACCTAATTTCAAATGACAGATTACATGAGAGGGACAAAATCACGTCAATTTTTTTTGTTTGTTTTTTTTGCCAAGGCTTTGTCCTTCAGTAACCTGCATTAAATTTCAATAAAATAGTTTTTTTTTTCCTACGGCTCCAACCATCCACCTATTAAGAAGAATGGTTGGAGTCTTTCTGGGGTTTTTTTTCCCCTCCTCTTCCTGACTGTTTTCCTTATCAGGGTGGTTAACAGCAACCCGCCAGACTTTTCGGTCTGTCTCTCCCATGGTTGTTATTGCTGTCTTGTCTATTTTGCAACTGGGAAGTCAATTAGTTGTGTGTTTCTTGCATACATGACCAATAAATCAGATTGTGATTCTAAATGCTTATTTGTCAGGAAATCATTTAGGCAAAGGAAGGGGACGCCATGCTCACTTTGGCCCAAAGAGAAAAATATGCTCCATTTGTTTCATGTGCATGATTAGTTGCAAAAATCTCCTTTTGTTTTCCTGACGTTGTACATCTTTGTTTTCTGAGCTTTGCAAAACTCTCCCGGACATGTGGTCCTAGAGCATGCAAAAAGTCAAAACAGTTTTGCTCATTTTGCACTTATATCCCTTTGTTGTCATTTGTGTCTCGAAAACTGACCATTTTCTTCTTTTGTTTTTTTGTGGTGCTTTAGGTGCGGAGTCTTTTGGTTTATTTTCCTGCACCATAAATGGAGAGGAGCAGGATCAGAGTCATAGAGCTGTCTACAGGTGACACATAAATCTGACTGCAAATGTTCATAGGAGTTAAAAAAAAAAAAATGAGAGCTACTTTTGTATTTCTACAGGAACACCTTTCACAATGTTGACTCCTTTTTTTTCCCTCTTTGGGAAAACAAAGGAACAAAGATCCTTTTATTTCAAGAAATTTGTTTTTCCATTGGATCGGACAGGATAAGCAAACCAACAGATAATCCAGATTATGTAAAATCTTTCATTTGGCAGCAACTACAAATATGACTAATAAATGTGCGCTTACATAACTAAGCACGGCTTTCTGATCTGAGGGTTTGTCTGGATTGAACACTCGTTTGGTAACAATTGCCCAACAAGCGCCAGACAGCCTGTTGTTTCATTTGTTACGTAATTTTTTTTAAATTCATGTATTTCATTGGGGCAGTGCACATTGATCAGCACAAGAATAAACAGCGTAAATGGACTGGATTTAGCATAAGTGCTCATTTTCAGCCATCGTCCCATGTTAAGGAGCGCGTGTTTGTTTTCAGGTGGTTTGACTCAACGTTAGCCGTTAGCTTAGAAAAACGGATGCCAGTGAAAGACTATATTAAAGAATGAAACAACTACAATCATTCATCGAATGAAAGAAGCTCCTTTTTTATTTTTTGATCGATCACCTCCGGCAAAACACTCTGTGTAGATGTTGTGGTTGCACGGGGTCAGTGAAGCAGCCACCACGCCAGGAAATAAATCCTTGCTAAACTCATTAGTTTCAATACCAACAAGAGTTTGGTTTGTTCTCATCCCGTTGTTCATGCAATGCCATCAAATATACGGACGGGGTCGACTTTGTTTTGGTTCATGAGTCTGGGATAGTTCGTTGAAGATAAAGATTGAGTTTGACTTGCCTTGTATGAGGAAGATTGCGCCCGTTTGGGGGGAATCCGACGAGAGGCCACGGCGTGTCTGTCCGAAGACTCCACGCCAGATGTTGACCTGCATTTCTCCAAGAAGTTCCTCAACGTCTTCATGAACGGACGCTCGAGCTCATCAAGTAAGTCGGCGTCTTCTGGGTTGCACTGGAAATCATAGCATTGGAAATATGCGCTTTTTTTGTTGTTGTTGTTTTTTTTGTTTTGTTTTTACATGCAAGCTTCGTATACACTGCCTAAAAAAAGTGCAGGTATTCATCAAGTTTTATTTTCGTGCAGTGGAGCAGATAAGGTGTCGTTCCTTCACCAGACACTTTAAGTTCACATTCTAAAAATCTTAATTTGAAGAACCTTATGAGGAAATCTGTTTTAATTGACACCGTTTTTGACAAACCTAATTTCAAATGACAGATTACATGAGAGGGACAAAATCACGTCAATTTTTTTTGTTTGTTTTTTTTGCCAAGGCTTTGTCCTTCAGTAACCTGCATTAAATTTCAATAAAATAGTTTTTTTTTTCCTACGGCTCCAACCATCCACCTATTAAGAAGAATGGTTGGAGTCTTTCTGGGGTTTTTTTTCCCCTCCTCTTCCTGACTGTTTTCCTTATCAGGGTGGTTAACAGCAACCCGCCAGACTTTTCGGTCTGTCTCTCCCATGGTTGTTATTGCTGTCTTGTCTATTTTGCAACTGGGAAGTCAATTAGTTGTGTGTTTCTTGCATACATGACCAATAAATCAGATTGTGATTCTAAATGCTTATTTGTCAGGAAATCATTTAGGCAAAGGAAGGGGACGCCATGCTCACTTTGGCCCAAAGAGAAAAATATGCTCCATTTGTTTCATGTGCATGATTAGTTGCAAAAATCTCCTTTTGTTTTCCTGACGTTGTACATCTTTGTTTTCTGAGCTTTGCAAAACTCTCCCGGACATGTGGTCCTAGAGCATGCAAAAAGTCAAAACAGTTTTGCTCATTTTGCACTTATATCCCTTTGTTGTCATTTGTGTCTCGAAAACTGACCATTTTCTTCTTTTGTTTTTTTGTGGTGCTTTAGGTGCGGAGTCTTTTGGTTTATTTTCCTGCACCATAAATGGAGAGGAGCAGGATCAGAGTCATAGAGCTGTCTACAGGTGACACATAAATCTGACTGCAAATGTTCATAGGAGTTAAAAAAAAAAAAATGAGAGCTACTTTTGTATTTCTACAGGAACACCTTTCACAATGTTGACTCCTTTTTTTTCCCTCTTTGGGAAAACAAAGGAACAAAGATCCTTTTATTTCAAGAAATTTGTTTTTCCATTGGATCGGACAGGATAAGCAAACCAACAGATAATCCAGATTATGTAAAATCTTTCATTTGGCAGCAACTACAAATATGACTAATAAATGTGCGCTTACATAACTAAGCACGGCTTTCTGATCTGAGGGTTTGTCTGGATTGAACACTCGTTTGGTAACAATTGCCCAACAAGCGCCAGACAGCCTGTTGTTTCATTTGTTACGTAATTTTTTTTAAATTCATGTATTTCATTGGGGCAGTGCACATTGATCAGCACAAGAATAAACAGCGTAAATGGACTGGATTTAGCATAAGTGCTCATTTTCAGCCATCGTCCCATGTTAAGGAGCGCGTGTTTGTTTTCAGGTGGTTTGACTCAACGTTAGCCGTTAGCTTAGAAAAACGGATGCCAGTGAAAGACTATATTAAAGAATGAAACAACTACAATCATTCATCGAATGAAAGAAGCTCCTTTTTTATTTTTTGATCGATCACCTCCGGCAAAACACTCTGTGTAGATGTTGTGGTTGCACGGGGTCAGTGAAGCAGCCACCACGCCAGGAAATAAATCCTTGCTAAACTCATTAGTTTCAATACCAACAAGAGTTTGGTTTGTTCTCATCCCGTTGTTCATGCAATGCCATCAAATATACGGACGGGGTCGACTTTGTTTTGGTTCATGAGTCTGGGATAGTTCGTTGAAGATAAAGATTGAGTTTGACTTGCCTTGTATACCCGACTTCTGTCAGGCTCTTGAATAGACGGTCTAGAAAACCTGGACTCACCCCCACTAACCCATTTTTAATATGCTTATATTTGTATTTTATATGTTATCTTTATATTTATTTATATACTTTATTTTTCTACTTTCGCCCTTTCATAATTTTGCTGCTGTAAATTGGGAATGTTCGCAGCTCAGCACTTGTGTATTCATATCACTTATGATGAATTACGACATTTTTAATATTTGAAAAAACAATTTCAGGTTGTTTTTTTGTGTGTGCATTTTTGGGGGATCTAATCCCAGTTTTACATGGTAAACACATAGTGGAGGTTTCTCTGTGTTTTTGGGGGGTTACAAGAAATATGCGTCGATTATATGTGGATTTGAGCTATTTGCGGGTTGGCATGTATTTTGTCCATATACACAATGGCATTTTTATCATGCATCTGGGTAGGAAGTGAAATATATATTTGATATTACAATGACAAATTAGCTAACATATACTGTACAAACCTTCAGAGATCCTGCGGATCTTCAGCTTCATCCAATTTTATTATTATTTTTTTCTGCAGGTTTGTTCCGAGGCACGATGACGAGTTAGAGCTCGAAGTGGATGATCCATTGCTGGTGGAGGTGCAAGGGGAGGATTACTGGTATGAAGGCTACAACATGAGAACGGGCGCCCGGGGGATTTTCCCTGCTTACTATGCTATCGAGGTGACCAAGGAGGCTGAAAGCTTCAAAGGTAATTCGCACCTCAAGCACTCAAAAGGGGGAGCGGGGGGGGTCTTCGCTTTCCACCAAAGTCGTAAAGTAGACAAGTCATCATTGCAGTAAATATTTGCTTAATAAAAACTGCAAGGCCGTAACTCTAAAATAATAAAAAGAAATACTGTTAAAATGAATGAAATATTTCGAGACCTGTTGCTAGTGTTACTGCAAGCAATCTGCAACGATGAACAAAGTAAAATGTGTTTCACAATTGTATGGTACGGCAAAAATGAATGCAAACGTATTAACACTGCACGCATCTTTTATGTCTCTTCAGCAAAGAATCATGAGTGGCTAGACCGATACCGGCTAAAGTTCTTGGGCTCAGTTCAAGTGCCCTACCACAAAGGAAACGATGTTCTTTGCGCAGCTATGCAGAAGGTGCCCGTTTTCTATTCTCGGAATGGCACCGGTGTGGTCTTTTATCACTGATGTCTTAACGAGTGCTGAACTCCTTCCAGATTGCCACCAACAGAAGAATGACGGTCAAGCACAACCCGCCCTCATCCTGTGTCCTGGAAATCAGTGTGAAGGGAATCAAACTGGCCGTTCATGAGGATTATTACGCCTGCGATCGAGTATGACTGATCTTTGTGCTTTTTATGTACACTAAACAATGTCAATTGGACATTGGCGATGTGTCGCCCCCGTGTGGCCATGTGTGGACACTACAGGCAGTAATTGCAACCATTTTGTTATAGTACAAATTTATTCTACAACTTCAATCGCGAAAAAAAATCATTTTTTTACTGTTAATTTTGGGGGGACTAAGAAATCAGGTATTTCCATGTTAAATGTCCAACCTTCTTCTTTTCTCTACAAATACGTACATTGAAACATTATTCTGCCTGTCCTGCAACTATTCCTCCTTTTTCCTCTTATCTCTGTCAGAGTAACGAGTGCAGTCACTTTTTCCAGTTAAAGAACGTCTCCTTCTGTGGTTATCACCCCAAAAACTGCAAGTAAGTCAACCATACTAAGAGTAAACTACAATTTCTTTTTTCGATCCTGCTGATCTATTTTTTTCTTTAGACTTGCGTTTGAACCAACTTTTATAGTGTTGAGCTGTGATTTTTTTGAATGTTGATAGTTTTTCGGCGAGTTATTTTATTCTTTATTTTCCAACAGCATAATCCTTGCCTGCTTTTTTTTGAAGGTTTAATGTTGTTTATTCAAGAATTAAGATGACATCCCAACCATGAACTCTCCGATCCAAAGAATGGCGACTCGGAGTGATGAATGTTCTTTTTGTTGCCTCCCTGCAGATATTTTGGTTTCATAACCAAGCACCCAGCAGAGCAGAGATTCGCCTGCCACGTGTTTGTGTCTGAAGATTCTACTCAGGCTGTTGCCGAGTCAGTCGGGTGAGTGAGTAGTTGAATTGTGTCACAACATGCACTAAAAATTCTTGCTAGCATAACACTTAGCCTATAAAGTTGTTTGCGTGTATCTAAAGAAATTCCATTTTTATTATCTGAATGGAGATTTTTTTTTTAATAAGCAGGCTAAATGTATTCGTAGCTATTTAATTGTAAAAATTGTAATTATGAGTTAGTCGTTTAATTTAAAACTCACTAAATATGCTTGCTAGCATAACACTTAGCCTACAAAGTTAAGCAGGCTAAATACCTAGCTATTGTAAAAATTGTAAGAACTGATGGGATTTTTTTCTGAAACGTCTATAAATTACAATACATGGCAAAATTGTTTTTTATAGGTCAAACGAAAAAACAAAAATGAACTATTCCCTGGCCGACATTTTCATTTGCCATCTCTGTTTTCCATAAAATGGCCACTTCAAGTTAATCATATCAGTATACTGATGTTGTCCAGTAGGTTTGTTTGTTGTTTGTATTTTCACTGGCACGTTTCTGTTTTACAGGAAAGCCTTCCAATTGTATTACAAAGAATTTGTGGAGTTTTCATGCCCCACAGAAGATATCTACTTGGAGTAGCCTCGTCCTGCCTTCAATCACAGCCCTGTACAGTACATACACACTGTATCATAACATGGTGTTGCATGTAGGACATATCGAAAAATAAATAACAACACATCAGAGGAGAAAGGAAGAAGCCAAAGGATTGTTTTTGAGGCATAAAAAATAATTATGCAAATCAGGCATCGGTGATAACGTGGTGTCCGTAAAGAGCACATATGACTGCGGCTTTTGGGGTGTCCTGTCGGCAGCCGTCACCTCAGAAGGTGGAAACGAAATTCAACTGCCTTTCCCGGCACCGACACACCAAAAGAGCAGGCAGTATAGACTAGGATCCAACACGAGGGGGGTGTTGGCTTTCCGTGAACTGGAAGGCACCCTGAGAAATGAAGGAAACTCACAATCTAAATAGGAGTCAACGTTGCGGGGATGAAATGGGCATCGTATGCAATTAACTGAACGTGTACTAGCTGTCACAGGCTGACCACTTTGGGCTTTTTGTTTCAAAACTAAGATATTCATCCTGAAGTGCGACTGATGGAACTTGCGGCTGCTTCTTACTGAATCCGGGACACATCGCGCTTGACTAGTGCGTGTTACTAAAACACAAAGTATTCCTATGTCAGGCAGAGGACTTTGAACGGAATCAAGACAAAGGCTCCGTGAAGTGAATTAAGATACGGCAGGTCCTCCGTGCAGCCGGTGCACAAGAGCGGAGAACTTCACTACTAGTGCCTCTTTTTCATCTTTCATCGAGACCTTCTCCATCATGTTTACGACATTTGAAGTCATGCTAAATGATGATGCTAGCGTGCGTGTGTGTGTGTGCGTGTGTGTGTGTGTGTGTGTGTGTGTGTGTGTGTGTGTGTGTGCCAATATTCAAGCAAGGATTATACCCTAGCCCGCCTCCCGGCTTTAATTGGTTTAGATAAATGTCTCAAGGCCCAAAGCTGAGTTTAAGCCACACAATTAGTCAAGTGCTCTTATTGAATTTCCATGAAAGCCTCAAGTACCGGTACCCATAAACAACCTTTGAAGGATGACACTATCGTACTGTATGAATGAGTATTTAGAGAAAAGGACGTGCTGGATTAAAAAAAAAAAAAGAAAAAAGATGTGTGTCTTTGTGCGTGTTATTAATGACTAAGTGAACCAACATTTTCTTTTAAATTAGTACGCTGTTTAAATCAGGGATCACCCACTTTTTCTTTCACTCTTTGGGTACTGATGAATGCAAAGAGAAAATTTTTTTGTCTTTTCACACTCCACACATTCAACCCCAGATACAACTCCTTGGGTACTGATGAATGCAAAGAGAAATTTTTTTATGTCTTTTCACACTCCACACATTCAACCCCAGATACTATTTTTTAAATTTTTTTTCCAAGACTTGGGGTAAAAAAACACACACACAAAAAAATGGGGTCTAGAATTGGCTGGTACTGAATGAGTTAATATTCTATATTTTTATGTTCGTGCTCACTGCAACCTAAGCCCAAAAAAGTGTTTAAAAAAATAAAATGACATAACAAAGCAGGTCACCTTTAACCTACGGCGGCACCTGATCTGCATCACCGGAAGCGGTCAGCAGTCTGCAATTGCCGCTTGCGATCACAGCTGTTGCGTTATATCTTTTTTAAAATTATTCTCATTCAAAGTTTTTGTTTCATCTGCAATTCACTGATGGCACTGGCAAAGAATGGGAATCTGAAGTGCCAGGAGAAAACATTTTTTTAAAACGATACACGTGAGCTACGATTGTGACGTTGCACTGAAGACGTTGCCAAAGTGCATCCCATGCCGCCGCGTCAGGTCTCGACTAAGGTAGCCACTGATTCCTTTTTTACAAACTCACAAGCTCTTGTATTGACTTTATTTTTCTGTTTCGTTCTTGTTCGTGGCGTTATGGCTGTTGCTCATCGTGGCCTGCGTGTCTGTGTGCGTGCACATGCAGTAGCGGGAGTTCGCTTGCTTGAAAAGTCGGATCTTAGGTCAAAAAAGGTTGGGCACCCCTGTTTTATAGGCTATATATATATATATATATATAACACAAGAATGTTTCTAAGTGACCAGATTCTCATCATCATCTTAAGCCCCCTCACCCCGTTAGTTCCTGAGAAGAAAGAAAGACTGCTTTATCATTTCATGACTTTTGTACAGCCAGACAGAACAAGCACTGCTTTGGGGACCGCACGAAAGGTTGTACAGATCTGTCATAGAAATTTATTATCTGTAATGATAAACACTGTACTAATTTAAAACATAGTGAGTGAAATCTCTTTATTTTTTATTTTTTCTTAGGTGTGACTTTATTTAAAAAAAAAATTTAAGATGATTATCTTGCGTCCTGTTATTCTTACCTCATGAGCAAACAGTCACATTGATTCCATTTCACGTTGCACAACAAATTGCCACACTGGTCAGCACAGATGGTGCCCGAAAGCTACTAAATAAAATCTTTTACCTCTCAACAAACACGATTCAGAGTGACACACAACTTTATGTCGTGCGTTTGTGCGTGTGGGCTCTATTTCCGATACCGGCATGAATCTGCACAGGCAAGTTAGAGCATGTGTTGGTTATTTCGCAGACAAGCACAACCTGGTTTATCTAAAGGCTTGCGCTGTTGTGGGAGTGAACACTGACACAGCTGACCTCAATCATGTCTGATCAAAGTAGCGGAAAGAATTATTTTACCATTTGTTGCCGATATATACGCCGGCCATCTGATGGCCATTACGGCCTTCTATTTCAAGGCGGCTACCCCCTTTCTATCGTTCATGCCCTTTCTTAAACTATCATCAAGAATGGAATAATGTTATGACACAGCAGAGTGCAGACAACCAGGTTTCGCAACTTGAAACATGCAAAATATGTTGAGATGGACCAACAAGCAAAGCTCCATGTAACAAATGTAAAGAATAATTTAAAAATGGGGAATTCCGATCCAAGGAGCGTGTCGTGTTTATTTGGGCAGTCTTTTACCAAAACTTAGTCTCAAGGGGTTTCACGGGCCCCCGGTTGACAACAATCAGTGACATCCCCTGTTCTAAAACCCCCAACCAGGCAAGGAAAAATTCATTAACGCTGTTAACGAGTTTCCCTCAATAATATGCATTCTCCAGATTGGGGTAATCGGCATTTTCTACATCTTGTGGGTCAGGCAGAGGCTTCTCGCCGTAATCTGCAAAAAATAAAATAAAATAGTGTCTGAAATTTCTGCTGAACGGTGAAAATGGCAAACACGAAGGATCGTTTTAAGGGGTTGTACCAAATTATAAGGGAGAAGCTGCGGGTGACCTGATTGAAGTGATCAGCGTATGAGACTGGCTTACCGTCAGTGTATCTGACGTATGGTTGAAGGTTGCTGGAGTAATGGAACTCAATTTTTTCCATACGGATGTCAGTTCTTGAGGGGGAGATAAAAAAAAAAAAAAAAAAGTAAATGTTATCCTGTTGATTTGACTAAACAAAATCCGACTCGCAATTCAGCAGCAATGAAGCAACCGGTACACTGTCTAGGACATCCCCCCGCCCCCGAGTTCTGCAGGTGCATTGCAACTTCCATAATACAACAACCAATAAGTAAGGCAGAATTTTATGCTGCTCTTTCCATTCGATTCCATTCAATTTGTTATGATCCGACACAGCACAAACGAAAAATATAACAAAGTGGCTTCACATTTTCACAGTGACGTTCAGGAATTACCTTTTCAATATAGAAGCTGACATACTTCTACTGAGCAGAAGTGTGAGGATTAGGATATGTAACATTCTTGTAGAGCGTGCTCAAATGGAGTAAGGTGCCCTCAACGCATAAACTCGCGCACGTCTGGCCTTGGCGCAGTAGCGACTACAGACTATCAATGCATCATAGAGGTCAATGAGGTCAGCAATAGTGGTGATGTCAAATGATGCAACTTCAAAGCTCAACCGTGATGCGAAAGAAAAAAAAAACAACTTTTGTCATTGCTGCTTGAAGTCAATCGACATATATGATACTGTACATGTATTAAGTACTGGTTTGTTGATGTAATGCTTCATTCACCAGTATGTGGAAGCCCTTCAGCTAAAATATTTTCAACTCTAAAATCATATAATATGCATACTTGAATTCATTCATTTGAAAATGATGAATAAGAAAAATATATTCAGCACATTTCTTGCTTAAAATGTCCAAAATACATATTACTCACTTGCATTCTTCAACACTAAAATTAGCTGGTGTTTGTTTCATTTCTAACCAGCTCCAATTTGATGGTGAAAAGCCGAATTCAATTTGAAACTCCTCATTCCTGAGGGCTACTTTTTGCTTGTACTTGTGGCCTTTATTCCAAAGTAACAGGATTCTTACTTGAGTACACTTATTGGCTCCCCTACCTACCTCTGGTGTGATGGCATGACTCCTTCTTGTGTCATTATCATTCAAAACATTCAAATCATTGCTGTATAGATATGTCAAGCCAATGTCTATTTCAAAAAATATTTTATTACTCGTAATTATTTACTATTTCTTGATCGATTTTTGCCTGTGCATGCTTTTGCACCTGCCTTTCTGAAGCAGCGCTTAAAGACCCAGGCATTGCAATAGTACAGATTTTATAAATCACATTATTTTGACTCAGTGTATTCTTGTTCTTGAAGCTGTGATGTGAACTCATCATATGAGGGATATTTCTTAAGATTAATCGAAGACACATGTGAATGTTGATGGGTTGGCGTAGTTCATGACATATTTAATGTGCGATGATATTTTACTTCGAAACATCCCCTTTGGCTACCCAAGTGAAGTCACCTTTGTAACTAGAGATTCCAGACTCAGGCTATCATAACCTCGATTTTTCCAACATGCCTGTACTTACTTAAAAGTTATTTGCTTATTAAGTTTTTTTCTATGTGGATACCTCTTCTACAGTAATTGGAACCATGTAAGTCGTATGTGGTGAGTCATTTGCCGTCCACAGCATTTCATGACATATTGTTATCAAAGGAGCCGTGGTTAAAAGTCATGTGGTAAAAATTAAGAAATGAATTCCTATAAAATGGTAGTAAACGACTTCACTAGACAAAGAGGTTTTCTGTGATATCCCATGCAGATGCTTCGCACAATGTGAAAAGGACAAATCAGAACTGAACCATGAATTTGCTCACTGTCGATATACTACTCGATCCAATTCAAACCTCGTTGCCACCCACCACAAAGCACCGCGGCACCGCCTGTGTCTTTCATTTGACCCCGATTCATACTGAACATGTCTGTCTGAGAACAATGATGCATTATTCATCGTCCGACTCCTTCTGGTGCATTGGCTCACCCTTTCAACATCGCACCAACTACGAGCCGTGCCTGCCGGAGAAAGGAAAGGCCAGAATATCACCAATCTTATGAAAGTAATGGCTTAGGTGTCTGTCAGAAACAATGACTGGAGCATTCCATACTTTATCATATTTATGATATCATAATGTGCATATTTTTTTTGTATGACCTGTTTTAAGTCGATCACACCAAATGACACTTTGAAAGAACTGTCATGTCCAATAAGGGACATTACAATATGTCCGATTTCTGGGTGACTCCAGAAACTTGTGGAAAGACTTGCAGCCCATATTGAGTTTTAAATCAAACATACCACTAAAATATGTATTTTCCTTGAACTTTTTATGTATTTTCCTTTAATTTTTTAACAATATAAAGTCGAGACTTATTTTTTACCCACCCTGTGTAGTGTAACTGTTCAATAAAACGTTGTTCTGCCTTAAAACCACAAGGGGGCGGCAGTCTTTAATCAACCATCAGAAAAAGC